TTACCGGCGACTTGACAGTAATTACCTTGAAAGCATCGTGCGAAACCTTGAATTCTCGATTAACATCGCCACTTCCCGGCCTTTCTAAGCCGAACAATTGTCCGTTCTCCTGTTTTGTTATCAAACTCGACTTTATAGAATTGTCATTTGCTTTCTCAACAAACGTGTCATTAAGGTCAATTTGTTTTGCGGAATCGACAGCAAAGCCATTATTAAAACCAGATTCCTGAGTAGCATTTACCAAATAATTGTTCAAACTTTGTAACGATAACGATGAATTAATCCTTGAAATATCTTTACTATTAACAAAGTATGGTTTGATACGGACTCTCCGCCGTTGTCTATCAATGTCAAAATTAAAACCCGTTTGCGACTGGCTACGCGATATTTTAGCTTGATTCATATCAGGAGCTGTCATGTAATAATCATTGTTTTGTTTAATATGTTTGTTATCATATCTGTTTCTATATCGCTGATACTTGCCAGTTTTATTTTCATTTCCTGCATGAAAAGGCAACAATAACGCTTCGTTAAGATTAAAATTAGCACTTTTGTGATTTACATCGCGATTATTCCATGAAAATCCAGCGGCTTCCATATTATCTATCGAGGGAGCCGATAGTCGATGCTCATCTACGTTATCCGTCGATGACTCGAGAAAATTTTCGATTGATTGCCTGTGCGTGTTTAAGGAATCAAAAACTCTGCGAAATATTTCTTGATAAGTTTGCCTCTCGTCCTTAGATATCGTATTATTTGAGTATGTCTTTTGATCCTCCACGAACTGTGGCGATATTAGTTGATCTGAAGAAAGAGAAATTTCAGAAAGCGCAGTAGTCGTCGGATAATTCGCTGGTACCAGGTGAACCAAATGCTTTTGACCTTTTTGATCGGTCCCTAGGATCAATCTCGGTGCCAATTGATTCACTTCTTCCGCCAGTTTTTCCACGGGTCTCGGCCGAGGTCGATGTTGAGGTCTCATATTCTCGAGTTCGTGCTTCCACTCGGATGATTCCTCTTTCTCGATCTTCTCAATGTTCACAGACTCCTGAACGGTAGCGTGGTTATCCTCTTGTGGTACCCTGTCCTGATCGTCGCTCGAGTCTCGTTCTGTTAACCCCCAGGAATTCTTCGATCGATGATGGTGCTCGGAAAAATTGTTTTCAAGACCGCACGGGAGATCTTTCGGGTCACTGTCGTGCTGCGTTCTAATCGTCGAGATTGACATAGATTCCTCCTGTGGTGTCACGTAAACGTAATAAATCGGCCAGAGATTATTGGTGTGGAAATAATTGCTCGTTTGCGGCATTATCGTCAACTGGAGATCATATCGCGTCGGCATGGAATTTGGCTGTTGCTTGATCCTCCGCAGAATCCACGTGAACACGGGATTCCTCTGAACTGCGCATGGCTCGCAGTCGACGCATTCGTCCTGACATAGTATCCAGTGGCCATTCGGCAAATGATAAACGTTTCCACGCGATAGAATGACATTCTTGTCGTCGTCCGAGTGAGCGACGACCGGCCCGCCGTAGTAGGAAGCATCCAACGTACGCTTGTAGGGTGCATTGGTATCCAGTGACGACGGACTGACCGATTTGAGGATAATATCGCTTAGCATGTATTTCCAGGGTGGCATGAGATGCCACGAAAGTGGCGGTATCACGGGATTGTACCGCTGACCGAATGGAACGCCGCGACCCAGAGTAAACAGAAGAAACTAAAAGGAGATTCAAGTTATGATGTTTGCACCATAGATGTTTGCAAGACGAATAATGAATATTTATAGCATGGTACATTGATATTCGGTCAAGCTAAATCGTAGCATTTTCCTTCGGGGCTATGAAATTATTCAATTAACAGAACTAATCCTATTTTCGATTAAAGCCGATTTTAGTGTTTAATAATACTAAATACAAACTTTTGCAAACATATTGTACAGTTTGTCGGACTTGAAACGCAATTGCAAACTGAAGCTGAAATTAGTGTCCCAAATTATGTTAATTGTTCATTAAATAGTGATGCTACAAGCGTTTTAACAATCTGTAAATGATTTATTACAAAATTACAAAAGATATTATCTCAGCTAAGATTTAATTATTACAATAAATATTTTCACACGTATTGGTATGACGTCCGTCCAAGAAAGTCGGGAGTTCTAGGTTTAAAGATTTAAAGGTTTAAACCCTACAGCTAAAGTA